AATCTCCCTTCTTAAATAGAGGGAGGATTCCTTCGGTTCTGGTACTTACTTTCCCCTTATCTTGATATACTGCAAAGTGTAGAGTTCTCCCTCCAATACTAGAAATCTGATTATACTCCTCCACTGTTGACACCTGTGCCCTTGCTACTCTCTTAAGGACTCCTCTCCTTCATCGTTCAAGCGCGCGCCCGCTTACGCGCGTACCCTCCGCATCTCTCGCTCACGCGCGCATCTCGCGCGCCTTCGCATCGCCTACGCGCGCCTTCGCGCGCGTTACTTTCCCGCGTCTACCAGCGCCCGTCTAGTTGACATAGTTTCCCTCCACCTTATTCGCGAGGAACTTCTCTCAGTAGCTGTCCTTTGGGTCGAGTTGTATTCTCGTATCCAGGTCTTGCTGTAGAGCCCCCTTTCTTTTAGTGTTTTCACCCACAGTCAAGATTCCTCACCTTCAGCGGTTCTATAGGACAAAGTTTAAGAAGAAACTGATGAGGTGTGGTGTGTTGACGCGGTTTTACACGACAAAGTTTAAGAAGAAACTGATGAGGTGTGGTAATCAAACGTACTTTTAGGGATAGCGAGAAATCCAACAATAGCAAGTGCCTCGCGGTGTGCACGCTGGACATTGTTGTGGACATTGCCTATTGAGGCGTAGAGAGGGTAATACTCATTATTTCCAGTTGCGACGGAGACCGTGGTTTTGTCACTGCCCAGGACCACCGGCACGAATGTTGATCCGTGTGTCTCTGGGTCAGTTGCAATTAAATCCTAAAAAAATTGTCAGTGGTTGTTCTGAGATAAACAGTAGTACCTACAGCTTGATTCCAGGCCCAATCACCGGACATAAAGTCCTTCCATTGACGGACATCACCATCAGTTGAAAACTCGCGATAAGGGCGGTAATCGAACTCTTGTACGTAGTCGGGGTTCCCGAGCATGTTCCGAACAACCTGATGCAGGTCTCGGTACCAAACATCGAATGTTTGATCCATCCAGGGTGGTGCAACGTCCGGTCGTGCGCCAGTGTATTGCGCGGAAAAAGACTGCCATTTCACATCGCCAACTGGAATGTTGTCAATAGTCTTGTAGAGATCGCGATAGTCAGCAAACGGAGGTCTATCATTGTGCTTGGTGAGAGTCGAAGCCCACAGATCAAGCAATCTGTTAATTTGAGTGGCTGGCGTCTGATTTTCGATGAAGAAGAACTCAGCCGTCTCGAATTCAGTGCGATTACGGAATGGGGTCCAGTCATCGGGAGTTTTTTCAGACAAAGGCTCCGGCACACTTCCAGGTGGAAGGAACATGCCATGTGCATCACAAGGGCGAGCTAGAAATTTAAAATAAGTGAATATACCGTAAGCAAAGCGAGTCATAATTACCATCGAGCGCCTTATGGAAGTTTCGATACACATGGTCTCCCGGACCCCAAAACTCAGCATCAATGTTGGGAGGTGGTGGCAGGTGACGGGTCTCATCTTCGATGTATTGGTCTTGATGCTCAGGCTCTTGATAATCAAACTCTTGGCCTGCCAGTGCAATGTGATGCTCAGGAGCTGGGTCTTCAGCAATATCGCGAGGCAAATTTGGAATTATAGGGTGGGCTGAGTTCCGATGTTTTGTGCGTCCTGCGTGAGTTTTGAAAAAACGCCGACAATTTCCATGCCCGCAAGGTAATTGCAGAGCGGTGTGGTCTCGCCGAAAGTCTTGGTTCCTCGGGACGATCTGAGGCATCAAAGGCAAAGAATAGATGACAGTGCAATAGACAAGAATTCGTAGTAAGAAGTGAGCCCGGTGTCGCCGTCCGAAAACACGTTGGTTGTGTTTGGAGTCAGGGTGAGGACCGTGAGGTACTTCAAAAAATTTCAATGCAAAAGCACTAGTCCCTGCTCATTCCCAACCACTACCAGCCCAACCCTCTTCCCTATCAGCCATGTCTGCAGAACCTGCTGCTCTGCATCGCACTCGTCCATCTAACGCCAACAAGCATCCTGGTGAGATTGTCCTTCGGGCAAAAGTCCATCGACGTACTGCAGAGGAGATAGCCGTTGCTAAAGCCGCAGAAGCCGAAAAGGCTACAGCCGCTCAGGTAGGCATCCAGCGCTTGGCTAGGATGGAGCTCGCCATGGAGGAGAAGCAGGTCAACTCAGCGACCAAGAAGGCCAGACCAGTGCGACCTCCTCCAAAAGGAAAGTCCAAGGCTAATAAGGCTGTCTCTGAAAAAGAGAAAAGCCTTTCAGTAGTTGCCAATGATGAGGCTCAGGGAGGACTCACTGAGAATGCAGCGCTGGAGCAAGGTCTCAACGACGGTCCTAGTAAGAGGAAGAAGAAGAAGGGGATCAGAGAATCCATCAATCGCGCACGCCATGAGATTAATAGTACTTCTCACCATGATGGCGGCGGTGATAGCAAGGGGCCAACACGTGCTGATAAAGGAAGTGAGAACACGCTTCTGTGAGTCTCTCACAGCTTTCAGATCATGCTCTTACTCACAGAATCTACACTTTTCTTCCTAAATCTAACTTCTAATCGCACCGGCAGAAACCCTAACTTCACACTCAGCGGGAAGATCCAGAACTGGATCTCTGGTGTTGACAAACCCTCAAAGCCTCACACGCCGGCAACTCAGACCTCCAACTCAGTTCCCCCTTCCACTGTCTTCACGCACCTCACAGAGACTTCCCAAGTCACTATCGAGAGCACTACCTCGGCTGGGACCGGTGGGAAATCCGGTGGTGCCCTTGTTGGAGGCTTTGATGATGAAGAGCCAGAGGATGATTCTTTGGAACGCCAGGTTGCTCAGTCAATGGACAAGAAAGGCAGGGAGGCCGTGGTGATTTTTTATTTTTATTTTTAAAAATATTTCATGATACTGATTTATTTTTACAGACTACCATCGCACTCACACTCGATGACTCAGACAATAGTCTATACGATGATGGGCCTACTAGGGCTCCATTCACTCAAAGTAGCGAGGCACGGCCAGTGCCTCACCCCAGGCCTGTCCCCAAAAGGAAGGCGGATGAAATCCTGGAGGTTTCATCTGATAGCGAATTCGAAGACGTCAGCGAGGCTGCTGGAAGTGACAACGACCTACTATCGGATATCGACGGTGACGACTTTTCAATGGATGTTGATCCACGCCAATCAGACCTCAAGCTGACGACATCCCAACCTGTGGTCAAGCAAGGTCCTGCCGACACGGGAGTGCTCATGAGAATGCTGTCAAAGCCAGAGAAAGCTTGCCGCACTACAAATTCGGTGAGAACTTAACCCTCAGTACGAATCCCCACTGACTCATGTATTTGTAGACATCCGTCAAAACTGTAGACACGAACACTCCAGCAGCCAAGAAGGTGAAGACAGAACCGATCACAGCGCCAATCAGTGCTACTCCTGCACAGGCCCAGCCTGAAGTCCAATTTGACACACCTGCGAAATCAGTAAAGCCCCGAGCGCAATACCGGACCACCGACCTACCTGCGCCAGTCCAGGCAGACCAGCGCTGGGCCAAGAAATTCTGCCCGACTGTGATCTTGTGGATGGGGAGTCTCGAAGACGACCTTGTTTGGACCATCACAGATGTGAAGTTACTCGAGCACGTTCAAATTATATTTGATGCAGTGTACCCAGAGCTCAGCCTTAAAGTGGCTCAGAATGGTGTCATATTCTCGCTCGCAAGTTTTTTTTACTTTTTTCACGGCTTACTTGTATTCTGACCGCACATTAACTAGACCGTTCAACGCCTCTCTGAATGGCGTAGTACCTTCGGCTCAACAGCCATTGCACTCGTCATCGATTTCTTGCTAACCAACCAAGACTGTGACCCGCAGGTTCTCTCACGCCTCCTCTTGAAGGATTACGCCTTCCTCTTCGCAGACATGGACCTACGTGATCCCCTTGGAGTGTACCATTCCGCCTTCATGCTTCAACTCTTCGGAAAGGCGCACCTTGCCTCCATCGGTGGCCACGCCAACATCCCCGCACTAAAGACTCACACCTTAGCAACAAGTGGAATGGTAGGCGCCTTCTCACTTTGTGCCGCAGCTGTAAGACTTCAGTTTTTCTGCCGTGAATGACTGTTGACTTCGGCCTCTGCAGCTCGAGCGCGCTGTTGAAATGATCGCCGTGGGTGATATCAAGGCCGAGGATATTTTAGCTGCAACTTCATCCACCAAGATCAGTGTTAAGCTGCCGAAAGTCCTCAACAAGGCCACTGGAAAGGAGACCAGCATCCCCTTTCTGTTCTCGCACGATAGGTGTGCCAAGAAGACGAAGAACTACGCCAGGTCCATCAAGAAGAAGGGAGCGGCCTTCGTAACATCTTTGACGGAGATCGCACGTTCAGCATGGAAGGAAAATGTCTGGCCCGCGGACTCAACTGTCACAGATGACGAGTCTGATGACGAACGTGCCTTGCTGTGTATCTATGTGCTAACTATTTTCCTTTGTATTTTTACTGAATTTTACTTGCTTTTGGCAGAATTTGACGGCACCACATCCACGCGCTGCTACTCCTGCTGGTAACCATTTTACTATACTCCTTTTCTCTGCTCTGAACCCCGTCCAGATTTCGCCTCGAGCGTCTTCAAGGCCGTCTTCGTCACTCTCGTGCACTGCTTCAAGTTTGCTCTTTGCTGTCATCATTTGTGTCTTGCCACTCATTTTTTAGCCTCATCGTTTTGCGTTATTTCAGTACCTCCGCCCGCTCGCTAACTGCTTTTTACTACACTATATTTCCGCATGTTGACCCCTTAATTTCCACATTTTTCACCCAAATGGTCCACTTTCTTTTGCTTTTCCGCTACTTTCAGCGCGCTTGTCATTAAATGAAAATTTGCTTTGCATACTGAAAAGGAAGACAAGTGAAAAGAAAGTAGAATTCCAGACAATGAGTGGCCTTTTTCAAATGGCTATCTACTTATTTTCACTCTTGCTTTTTTGTGCTTTTTGGACGAGAAAAGTTGAATATAAGTAAGGTAAGGAACCGGGCGTTTTACTGATGTATGTTGATCTATTTCTTGCTTGGCTCCCTTCCATGGCTAACCAGCAACCACGAGAAGCTCTCCACCTCTGACATACTCGAACGCAAAGTGGACACCACCATCGCAGATTTATGTGATGGTGTTCCTCCTGAATTCGCAAACCTTCTAGTCTACTCGCGGTCTCTTTCGTTCTCAGAAGATCCTGACTACGATTACCTTCGCTCATTGCTTCGCGGTCTTCACACCACAGAAATTGGCTTGCTGGATTTCATCCAGCCCAATGACCCTGTCATACATTCTCCAACCTCCAACATTCACTCGGTGGCTGAGGTGGTGTTGCTGTGCCTACCAAAACCAACACCTGTTCACAAATCAACTCGTGTGTGAGTACATGATTTTTTAATCTTCACACACTCATGATTCATGAACCTAGTTTACGTCCTCGCAATGGCCCCCTACCGCCTTCAACAACTTCTACCCCACGTCAGAAAAAGAAACTCGTTGCATAGTATGATGGATGTATATATTTTGATTTGTTTGTGAAACTATTGAGAAACGCTGGATACCGTCAGATTACCAACAATCTCCAAAAGGAAATATGCGAACCGTTGTGCGCAAATGCCAAACAAAGCCAAACAACTCACTGATACATCCTTTTCATTTTACCATTCCGTACCCTACTTTGTGCTCACATCTCCGTTCCGCCACCGCCTATGTTCATGATGCAATTACCACAGTACAGTATGTTCCCATCTTAAATTCACTTCATGTCAGACTTAGGAATACATACGCTTCTCGCAGTACATGACCATGCTCAAACTTGTCAAGGATTCCATTCCTTCCATTGAACAGTCCATGACACGGTATCGGATGGATAACCCTGCGGCGTTACATCGCATACGAGTTGGCGTACCTGCGACTGTTGAACAGAGAATGACATGGAGATCTACCTTGATATTCAGGTGGAGTCCAAATGTCTTGAAACACGCGCGTCCACTATTAACTTATCGCCAGGGACCAGGGTGGTCAGCATCAGGTTCTTACTATAGGAAGACCACAATACGTGATTCGCACAGGTCCGATTTATCCGAGCAGGCGTTCAATCACTGTTTGTATAAGTATAGGTGAGTGTAATCATGCACACTAACCTCACCATACCCGTCGCTCATCACAGTAAGTCGCCACTTCTCTGTTCTGGAGTACTTGTACTTAACGTGTTGCAAAGTAGCGGGGTGTCTGAATCGTGACTATCAGCAAGCTCGACCATTTCAATGGCAATTATCATTGCCACATGCACCCTCATCATCATCTTAGCCAGCATCTGGATCGTGAAACAACGATACCAGGCCGCAAGATGGTTGCTGTTACCCCCTGGACCACCTGGACGTTGGCTATTAGGAAATGCGATGCCAAAGTCATAGTAAGTCATTGTCGAGGGATACCAACATGATCTCTGTCTAACCCCTCACGCAGTGCGCCGTTTCAATTCGCGAAATGGACAGAACAATACGGACCTGTGTTCTCGCTCAAACAAGGCCATAGGATTTTCGTAGTTATAGGACGCCATCAGGTTAGCATAAAACAATACACTGTCTAGCCAGACATGAAGTAGATCATGTCACAGGCTGCGGTGGATATCATGGAAAAACAGGGAGCAAATGTTGCCGACCACCCACGTTCTATTTCAGTGCAAGAGACGTTGTCTGGCGGGTTGAGAATGCACCTTGAGGACAGTAATGAGAGATGGCGCCGGATGCGCAGGTATGCACCCTGTCTCTACTAGGTGTAATCAGTGACTAAATGTAAAGCAGGGTCTTGCATGCAAACTTGCAACCTAAGGTTGCGGAGACCTATGAGCCCATGCAGACCAGGCATGTGAAGAATCTGGTTCTAGATATCTTAAATGATCCAAAGAACCACCAGAGACATGCCATGCGGTACGAACACCAGCTCATACTCGCGGTACAAGTGGTAATCTGAAGATTTTAGTTATTCAGCTTCCGTGATCATGTCCTTCGCCTATGGAAAAATCACTCCGGCTTCATATACAGATCCTGAAGTCGTTTCCATCAACATGTTTTCTGCGCGTTTTGGTCAAGCTATGAAGCTGGGAGCATATCTTGTGGATGCGTATCCCATCTTGCGTTTCGTCCCAGGCTACCGGAGTCAGCTGAATGCATGGCACAAAGAAGAACTTACTTTCTATGACGGGCAGTTAGACGCAGTGCAAAGACAGATGGTCCGTGATTTTCCTGTGATGATATATATGCTTGCTCACCATTGTGAAGCGTGAGGGGACTGCAAGGCCATCCTTTGCGAGGTTCATATTAGAGCACCAGAAACAGTACCAGCTCGAAGATAAGGGACTGGGATACCTTGCAGGTGTGATATTTGGGGCCGGTTCTGATACGGTAAGTTCTTACATTGCATCATGTCTTCGCTCAACAACTGTTGTAGACTGCGTCTGCAATCACAATTATGATGATGGCTGCTGCCACTCATACAGATGTGCAGGCTCGCGTACAAGAGGAACTCGATAATGTTGTGGGGCATACGTAGCATAGGTTATGCATTTTCTTTATTCGTCTACTGACTGAGATAGCTACTGATTAGTGCCGACATTTGATGATCGGGAAATGCTGCTGCAGGTTACCGTGTTTATGCTCGAGAGTCTCAGGTGGAGACCTGTCAGTATTGGAGGTACGTCTTATTTGTGTTGTGATGATGCGATAATGATCGACCACCTTGCACTATGGGCTTTGCACATCGCGCGAGTAAGGACATCATTTGGAACAACTACCTCATTCCGGCAGGTGCGACTGTTATTGGGAACCATTGGTCAGTAGGCAATCATTTTCGTCCTCTCACCTTTGGGTCTGACGCTCGTGCTTCAGGGCCATCGCAAACCACCCTGAAGTCTTTCCAGAACCACAGACATTTAATCCTCAGCGTTGGATTGACGATGCAGGTTGCGTGCGTGATGATCTCCGGTTTTTTACTTATGGCTTTGGCCGTTGGTGAGTGACATCATTCATCTCTCGACCATTTCTTATGTCTTACTTGAATATGTCAGAGTGTGTCCCAGTCAACATCTCGCGAATTGGTCGGTCTTCATCAACATGGCTCTTATTCTGTGGGCTTTCCGCCTTTCGGAGAATCCTGCATCAAAGATTGACACGCTTGCATTCTTGGACACTGCAAACAAGACTCCGACATGGTAGCCATGTTTGATAATGCATTCAAGCAGCAACCTCAGAGCGAGGAACTTGGTGCACAGACGTTCTTCGCTCATGTGCAAACTGGCAACTGGAAATCTTGTCAACAAGTGAGTATTTCTACCTGTTCCTTCCTTTGTACACAAGTCGAATCATGTGGTCTTTAAGGTTGCAACCGAATGCACAAGCAGTTCCAAGAGGATCGGTATGTATACTGGGCCGTGACAGGCGCAATTCTCCAGGTTTGTGCATCGCGTTGTGTTGCAAATAACACACTCTAGTTGTGAGTAGGCAAATGACCTTGGCACTCCTTCAAACATTCGCACATTGCTCTACAAATTGGCTCACCGTCATGTCACATCATGTCCTACACCATCATATATGGCTGTGGACCGCTTCCACTTGCATTCGATCATTCTGCAAGAACTCCAATTGTGGGACGAAGCAAACACCTTGCTAGAAAGTGATGTCGGGAAGTCGATCTGTTCAGCCAGTCTTGTATGTAATGAGACTCACAGGGAAATCTGGCGCAAACGTGGTCTGTACAAGGACGAGGGGGAACGAGCTCAAGAGAAGATCAAAAACAAGTGAGCGGACATTAAGGGTTACTTCTGATATAATCTGATGTGCACTTCAGTGACTGGAATTGGCTGGAGTTTATTTCAGTAATCGATGCTTCAGTGCAAGGGCCCAATGTTAGCGAAGAGGGAAAGTCAGAGTGCTTCGAGAACATTGCGAAAACACGCGACCTCCATCAATATCAATGTGAGCAACTCTCATCTACTCTGACATTGCTAGCACTAACGCAAGCCATAATGCAGAACAGCGAGAAAACAACCTTGACAAAAGCCAACGACGTCTATCATTTCTCTGTAAGTCTGGCTTCCGTCGATTGTCATCTCGACCACCAATGAATACCTTGTGTAGCCCCTCCCTCGCCAGTGCGTGCATGCATACATCTAGTATATAGTCGGGCTGCCAGAGGTGTAGCGAGCGGGTGGCATCAGCATTGTATTTCCTATAGCTACTATGTATTTGCAATTTAAATGGAATATTAATAATATTTAAAATGCACAGCCTGCTTGAAGCTGTGAAACAAACATGAGGACTTAAACTTTCAGTGCAGTGACGCTCATCATGTAATATGTACATCCTGACTCCTCTCTGAGCGACTCCCACGTGTCTCTTATCTTCCAACTTGCTGCCAACTTGCTGCCGGCTCCGAATCATCACATCTCAAATCTTGATCATTATTGGATTCGATCAGCCTCGAGCACAGCCCCAGCAACAACTCAGCCTATGCTTTCCTACTCATGGACTCATTGATGCATCCCCTACCTCACATTCAAGACTATGTCATGCAGCACAGCCTAGGCCCTAGGGACCTTTCACTTGTGATGCTGTCGAAGACAGCTGATATTATGTACCAGCGTGCGTTCCATTGTCCTGTTTGCATATTTCCATTAATGCTATAGTGATCAGACCCTGCAACCCTAAATATCCTGGCAAGCCTCAAGTCCAGGTGTAACTGGTTTTCCCCACCACGCACATTGGGATTTTCCTGGGTCTCCCCAGGTTGAAGTTTTGTTTTATATATATACAGGTGATTCGCTTGTTGTATCTATAGCTCTATCATCACTAATATGAACAACCGTCGCGGCAAAAATCGAAAAAATGCCAATGCTACCCAGGCTGACGCCCCAGCTGTTACTCCCAATCCCACCACTACTGCTGTTGCTGCAGCAACCATCAATACTACTGCAGCAACTTCCACTGCCCTCCGACGCCCTCAACGAGAGCGTCAGCGTCCTCGAAGATATCAAGACGGTGATACTGAATTCTTCAACATCAATGAAATCAGCGCCGATGATGAGGAGGATGGTGCTCCCATAATAGTTGCACCTAATCCAGCCTCTAGCCCACTTCAGACAGGCGACGGTGCCCTCAATTCTACTTCAATCAATCCCTTGGCCACCGCCCCAACTAATTTCTTGGCCACCGCCCCAACCAATCCCTTGGCCACAACCTTAGTCAATCCCTTCGCTACGACTCCATCGAATCCTTTGGCCACCCATGACGGGAAAAGAAAATGAAAGGGGGTGGCAGTTGTCGACATCCCCCACTTCTATAGGACAGAGGCATCACTTAAACGTACCTGTATCCCCTGCGAGTAAGTGTCATGTCTGGGAGTGTTTTGTCAATCTCACTCCTCCAACAGGGATATACATAAGAAAGACCCTTCATGGAAAATCCAGATGTACGCTGCTAGTTCAACCACGGGCACTCTTCGCACCCACGTGCATGTCTATCACATGGACCTTTACCTAGCAGAATGTGAGCGCCGGGGCCCAGTGGCCTGGCCAATTTTGATCAACGAGGTGCAATCCTGACTCGACGAGGGCTGGACCATCTCGCAGATGCGTGAAAGGCTCAGCCAGGACCCAGATGGTACAATTGAGACACTCGGTGTTCCCCCCAATCCCGTATGCAACAATTCACTGCCTGCACAGTCAGAAGCTGTTTTGCCGGACTTTTCAGTTGATGAGATGCACCGACATATTGTTAGATTCATCATAGCTGACGACCAGGTGAGTAGTATTTATTTTACATGCAACATTATTAACGGTCATCTCCAGCCAATTAATGTTGTTGAGTGCCCAGAGTTTCGCCGGCTGCTCCGTCTCATGCGTCAAGATCTAAAGGAGTCGGATATTCCTCGCCGCACAAAATTTTGCTCACTGATCATAGATGCGTGGCATGACTACTTCCCGGTCATGAAACGTGACCTTGCAGTAAGTGTTTAGCTACTGATAATATGCAGTATCTTATGTCCTGTAGAAGGCCCAAGGAAAAGTCTCGTTCACGTCTGACCTCTGGTCAGATCCTAAGCTCCGCCCCTTCCTCGCACTTACTGCCCATTGGCTTGCAAGGGAAAATGCCAATTCGGCGCTCATGTTGAAGGGCGCTCTAATCGCTTTTCATTACATGCCGGGTAGTCATACAGGGAAGGCACTCGGGTCAACAATCTTCAATCTGATCAAGCGTGCCGGTGTGATACATAATGTCAGTGTTCATTTGTGCTGTTTGACATGCTCTGACTCGGTTTAGATGGGACACTTGACACTCGACAATGCTTCCAATAACCAGACTGCAATGGAAGAACTTTCTCGCCAATTGCTGCGACAAGGGATCGAATTCGATGCTGTTGATCGCAGGATCCCATGCTTTCCACACATAATCAATATATGTGTGCAGCACATCATGGACGAGCATTCTACTGTGGACCTTTCAGATGTCGCCGGTCCTTTCGTAGTTGGCAATGTCTCTTTCGACAAGGCAGTGTATATCACGGCTCTGCAAGGTGATGTTATCTGTCGGGCCAGGGCCGTTGTGCGTGCAATCCGCGTGTCAAACAAACGACGTGATAACTTTAGAGATGTCATTCGCTTGGGCAACGATGTGAAGATTTTCCGAAACGACAATTATGAGGAGATAGTGCTCCCGGTTGTTGAACTGCTGTGCGATGAGCCCACACGTTGGGACTCGACCTACATCATGCTTAATCGTTTAAGAACACTTCGGCAGGTAAGGCCTCATTTCATAATCCTTGGCATCAGCTAAACAGCAGCCCAGGCCGTTGACGACTTCCTTGATGATAATGATCAAAGGGCTATATTCCATCTGAAGTTAGAGCCAGTGGAATGGCAAATTTTGCAAGATCTTGAGGTGGTCCTAGAGGTTGGCCTTAATTTGTCCGAAATTGAGATATACTTACCATTTTATATTAGGCACCGCATGCCGTTCAGCAAAGAATGTCTAGCGAAAGCACGCCTGTGCTAAGTTGTACCATTCCAGCTTTCGAAAGGTTGGTCAAAAAGTGGAAGGACTTGGCGCAGCGCTTTGCGCACTTGGCACCTTTTGTCGCCATCGGTTTAACTTGGACTGATAAATACCATGACCGGATGAGCCACACAGGAGCATATGGAGTCGCCATGTGTCAGTCCCACATGTTTCTTTTGTTCAAGGCTGATTCTCATGTGTGTTTGTACAGTCATTGATCCTGCGATTCGTATGTCTTGGATGAATGATAATTGGGACATGGTCCGAGTCAACAAGGCCAGGGATTATATTCTTGAACTGGTGCGTTTATTTACCCTCATAAAAGTGCAACTTTGATCTGATATGCTGTAGATGCAGAAGAGAAGAGCGAGAGATACCTCTGGCTCCGCACTCTCTCTACCCTTGGAACAGTCAGATCACCAGACACGTGCTGCTGCAACACTAGGCTCAACGATCTATGGACTTTCTGACATAGATATGCTGCCGCATAACGAGGGTGGCACCCAAACAGTAGAACAGGAGTTTAGCTCTTACAGCACGGCTGTCCGTAGCCCATGGGGAACAAATTTCCTTGCATTTTGGACGGTAAGAGTCCTATGTCTCCATTACGTTTCGCTGATCATGATGTGTCGACTAGACCGCACAGCCCATATTTCCGACCATCTATTCAATCGCAATGGACTATCTCCCCATCCAGGCCTCCGCTGTTCCCTGCGAACACATTTTTTCATCCAGCAGTGAGACATACACAAAGAGAAGAAATCGCATCAGCCCGCCTCTGATGGAGGCCTTACAAATGGTCAAGTTTTCGCTGAAGAAAGAGCGACTCAACTTCACTGAAGGTTGGCAAGCCTCGCAGAAGGACATGGAGTATGACTTGATGTGCGCCCTAAGCTCTGGTGATTCTTCGAGCCCCTTCAGTGACAAATTCCGTATTATACGGGCCAGCGGATTATGGGCCCATGTTGTGTATATTCTCGATGATGACGGATGGGCCGGGACACATATTATTTCCGATGGAGACGGGTGGGCCCATGTATGCCAATGATATATATATCCTTGATGTTGACGGATGGGCCAGGGGAATATGATCATTCATGGAGATGGGTGGGCCCATCAGGGTAATATGTAGAGTAGGATATTATAGACAGCTGGGCTGAAGAGAGATGTAAGGCAAATATTGTTATATAGACGGGCAGGCCGACGGGGGTGTATTACATATATGGGTGGGCCGAGGTAGGGGAATATTACATAGATGGGTGGGCTGACGCGGGGTGTATTACATATACAGGTGGGCCGACATAAAAAGTATTACATATACGGGTGGGCCGACGAAAGGGATATCAAATAGATGGGTGGGCCAAGGGTGTGATAAAATATTTATTACATAGACAGGTGGGCTGAGGTGGGGTATAATTATATAGACGGGTGGGCCAACATAGGATGTATTACATAGATGGGTGGGCTGACGTGGGGGAATTGTACATAGATGGGTACATATATGGGTGAGCCTAGATACGTATAAATGTCAAATTTTCAGTGCAAAACCCCAAACCGAGATTTACCAACCCCCGAACCCCGAAATTGTGGACTGCTGGGTCTTGGGTTTCGGGGTTTGGGGGTCCCGGTGAAGGTGAGGAATCTTGACTGTGGGTGAAAACACTAAAGTAAGGGGGCTCTGCAGCAAGACCTGGATACGAGAATACAACTCGACCCAAAGGACAGCTACTGAGAGAAGTTCCTCGCGAATAAGGTGGAGGGAAACTCTGTCAACTAGACGGGCGCTGGCAGGCGCGAGAAGATAACGCGCACGAAGGCGCGCGTGAGCAATGCGAGGGCGCGCGAGATGCGAGAGGCGCGCGAGATGCGAGAGGCGCGCGCATATGCGGGAGCGCACTTATGAGTGATAAGGGATGTGGTTTCAAGTATAGTAGAGGCGCGAGCTGTAGCAGATGGAGAAGTATAATCAGATTTCTAGTACTAAGGTGCACTATACAACTTGCAGTATACTGAGATAAATGGGGGGAAAAGTAGTAACCGAAGTAAAAGAACTTCCCTCTATTTAAGAAGGGAGATAGCGCTATGCGGCGCTTCTGAGCGCGGTACCGAACCGAGTAACCATATCAACTCTAAATATAATCTAAAGTCTAAGATAGACTTTCTGTATGTAAGCGCGGGGATCGGACCGAGTGCACATCAATTCAGTGAAAGAGATAAGAATAACGCACCAGCAAATCAGTGAGGACATAGGACGGACGGGTAGGCGCGAGAAGACCTAAGGGGAGGCGCACGGACGCGTGCGGAAGCGCGCGAGTGCGTATGAGGCGTGCGAACGTATGGCGCGCGCGGGAGCGCGTATGACTGATCCTTCGGATAAGAGCTGGAATATGTAAGGAATATGTGGTTCGTGGGGCCATATGTCCGGCATTGAGAGGCGCGAGTCTCTACACCGGAACTCGGAACTCGGTATGTGAGACAACAAAAATATATTTCAAACATGGGTAAGTCAATGTGTTTGTCAATCAACTTGATTGTAAATTATATTTTATTGATCTCCCCAAATTTCCCAAGTTCCGAGTTCTGAGCTCCGGGACCCCCGAACCCCGAACCCCGACACCCGGCAGTCCACAATTTCGGGGTTCGGGAGTTGGTAAAATGTGTATGGATAGATGAAAGGTTAATTTAAACATTTTTGAAAGATGTCCCATATGAAATGTCAAGTCCCAAGTTTCAATTTCCGGGTTTCTGGAGTGCCAAGTCCCGAAGCCCGAAGTCCCGAAACCCGGAGTCCCGAAACCCGGAGTTCAAAACTCGGGACTTAACATTTCATATGGGACATCTTTCAAAAATGTTTAAATCAACCTTTCATCTATCCATACACATTTTACCAACTCCCGAACCCCGAAATTGTGGACTGCCAGGTTTCGGGTTTCGGGGTTCGGGGGTCCTGGAGCTCAGAACTCGGAACTTGGGAAATTTGGGGAGATCAATAAAATATAATTTACAATCAAGTTGATTGACAAACACATTGACTTACCCGTGTTTGAAATATATTTTTGTTGTCTCACATACCGAGTTCCGAGTTCCGGGACCCCCGAACCCCGAAACCCGGGACCCGGCAGTCCACAATTTTGGGGTTTGGGGGTTGGTAAAATGTTTATGGATATATGAAAGGTTGATTCAAACATGTTTGAAAGATGTCTTTCATCTCAAAAATCGAGTCCCGAGTTCCGGGTAAGACATCTTTCAAACA